AGGAGCCTCATCTCGTGTCACAGGTGGGAAACTGAGGCGGTCACCATCGGGTGGGAACACATCGAAACCACCCAGCGACTCAAAAAGGCCATGGAAAGCCCCAGGAGGGTTGGTCCATCACTAGGCGTGACGGGTTGGTCACCACCCCTGGTTCTACGACTGCTTAAATTATCCCTTGTCAGACCAGGAAGGGTATTTTGAGGAAAAGCCTGCTCTGTTTGCAAGCTCCTTCTTTTACTTCTCCCCAACACCTGCTCCGACACAACGTAGGAGGCAGGATACGGCACCAGATGGTCCTCTCTTCTGACCCGGTGGCTGTGCCTCTCCACCGAGGACTTCCAGGGCTTATCTGCAGTGGATGCTTCAGCACAGGCACACATGCCCACCACCCAAACCCGGGAGCGTGCTCGGCTAAAAAAACCACACAGCAAAAAACCACCCAAAAGGGATGCTTCTGAAAAACTAGACCGACCTTTTCAAAAGGCTTAGATTTATACACTCTGAGGATGAGAGTGAAAATGCAAAAGAAAATGCTGTGAAATGAAAAAAAAAAAAATCTACAAGAATTTAGTGAGAAAATGTTCCCTCAGCGCAGTGGAGGCTCGTGGAGCATCAGCCGGGCAGTGTGCCCGTCCCACGGAGGAATGTCCTCCCAGGACCAGCTGAATCATCACCTTACAATAGGAGCTGATCATCTGAAGAGGGATCGGGTGGCAGCGTGTCCAGGCGCAGGGTCACCCTGGACCAGGACCTGTGGCCAAGCCTGCGAGCTCCCAGAAGGAGCATCCCTCTCCTGGGCATCCCTCCAGCATCCACTGGTGGGGAAACGCCAGCTGGGAAAGAGCAGGAGCACCCAGGGTGCTGGCACCCCACCAGGAGGACAATCCAGCCAAGGATCCCACATTGGATGGGAACACCACCCTCTGAGACCACTTTGGGAGCTGGAGAAAGCAGAAAGGTCTCCGGGAGCCAGGGCTGAGCCGTGCCACCAGCGAGGAGGAGGAGGATGCTCAGGGGAGGTTACAAGGTCCAGGGTGTCCCTGTGTGCTGGGGACCACAGAATTTGGGGAAGGCTGAGGGGGGGGGGGCAGGGAAGGGCGGTAATCTCTTCCAATTTAGATTTAAGAGCTGGCAAACTGCGGAAGCTTTGCTCAGAAAAGGCAAACCAGAAATAAACTGAGTGGAAACCAGGCTTACGTGTTATCTCCTGTTACTGCTGTGGCCAATTTGCTAACGCGAGGCAACAAAACACCAAACCTTCTGAGGCGTTCGGGTCCAATCAGAAAACCTCTCTTCTCGTGTCACCCCAAACTAAGCAAAAATTGGGAAAGATAAAAGCCCAGCTCAACCGCACACGAATCTACATCTATTGCAAGAAATGTAACGAAGTTCCTCAACACCCACCCTTCGTGGAGCCAAACGCCGCAGCGTGGGAGTCGAGAAAATCTTGCATTTCTAATACTTAGGAGCTTCCATGTACTTCTAATTTTTCTCCTATTCCCAGTTTCAGTCACTCCTCCCTTTCGGGAGTCTCGGGCAGGAGTTTCCAGGTTGTTTTGCCCACCAGCGCCAGGGCCCGTTTGCCAACATCATCAGCCTCCACACCAGAGCCCGTTGGGCACAAAAAACCCCCCCAAAGCCAAATAAAAACCCACGTACACAACATCTCCACAACTTCCACCTCATTCAACGCCACGCAAGTGTTGCTTTTTCCAAGCCCAATTCCAGCTTCGTGCACAAAGACCTAACAGCAGTAAATCCTTGGGCCCCGTTACCTGCCCAGGAACCCGGAGTTAAGGTCACTGAAGTCACTTGGAACAATTTATTGGCTCTCACAGCCCATATAGCCAGGAAACTCCATCGTACAGCCAGGTCCCCGTGATGGCATCACCTGGAAACTCTGCTGCAAAACCAGGGAAACGAAAACCAATTTTCCCCAAGTGGAAAGGCTCAGTTCTGGCTCTCCCCTCTCCAGCAAAAGCACATCTGCAAATCCAGAGAAGAGCTTTCCTGCCGCAGGAGAAGGTCAGTGGCTTGGAAAGTGATGGGGGGAGAGAGGATATCGTTGGTGCTCAGCTTGTGTCCCACCAGCCAGCCCTCAGACACACCAGTGGAGCAGCAGATGGGTACCTGTAGCATCCAGCAGCTCCACCAGCGCCGGTTCCCAGGGAGCAGCTCTGCCCTGGGGAGCTCCTGACTCAGCCCCGCTCCCAAACCACATCTGGCATGGCCTGGGAGGGAGAGGGACAGGGAAGACAAGGTGGCTCCACCCGGCCACGTCCACCACAGCTCCTCGCCCTCCTGCTCCTCTGCCCCCCAGTTTTAAGATGCACAGTCTGATGGGACGACTGAAGCCTCAACGGAGCAAACCAAGGAGCGTTGGGACCTCACACGTGCCCAAACGACCACCATCACAGCAGCCCGTGTCCGTCAGCACGACGTTGCCCATTGGGAGGAGGCCAAGGACACTCACTTGGTTCGCCCTCCTGCTCCTCTGCCCCCCAGTTTTCTGATGCACTGTCTGATGGGACGACTGAAGCCTCAGTGGAGCAAACCAAGGAGTGTTGGGACCTCACTCATGCCCAAACGACCACCACCACAGCGGCCCGTGTCCATCAGCACGACATTGCCCATTGGGAGGAGGCTGAGGACAGTCACTTGGCTTCCCTGCAAGTCCCAAAACTGACTTTATCCAAAGGCTCCTACTCTCAGCACAACCGGCGGTGACATCCCAGCTCTGAACTCCCCCATCTCCAGGCACAACGAGGGGAGCTCCGTGTCTCCAAGCGTCCTCCAGCTCAAAGGCAGGGCTTTGGAAGACTCTTTCTTTCTCCCCCACCATATTTTACACTTCGGTTCCTTCCCTCCCACACAGCCCTGCTGTCGCTTCGCTTTTGTCCTGGTACATGAATGACAAACCATGGAACTGTGGTTGTAGGAAATGCCATGTCGGGAGAGGAAGCACCTCCCACGTACTACTGACGGCTCCCAGGCTACTACTCCTCCATGGTCCACCCAAAGGGCTCCTGAGCCTCCGGAGGCTGCTGGCCCTGGACTCCCACAGCTCCCCGAGGGAGCCCAAGATGAGAATGGATGTAAAAGACTCAGAATTTATACAGGTTTCTATCTCACTGTAAGGCAGAGCCAGGAGAAACATCACCTTCTACTAGAAACGACCAACGACTTTCCGGTGCTAATGAGAGAAGGGAAATGGTTAAAACATGGTCCCAGATCAGGCTGAAATGCCCAAAAATCAGCCACGAGGCAAAAAAAACCAAAACAAACCAACCTTCTGATTTATTTTTCATCTCATGATGTGGGGAATCTTGCTCAACTTGGTATCTCTCTCGCTATCTCATTCTAAGGATCTCCGTGGATGCCAAACCACGCGTCCGGACCCTGCGGCTGTGACCACACAAGCGTGCCTTTGTGGAAATATTTTGATTTCCTACCAGCATTACACAAAGGTCATCTGCCACGAGCCGGTTAGAAGACGGGGCTCACGCTCACGAGAAACCTGCTCTCACCCGGTTTCATCACTCATAGGAACCGCTCACCATCTACATCCCCATCCCCGGGTCACCCAGCTCCCCTTGGAGCAGCGTGGGTCCATCGAGGGCCGGCACCAGCGTGAGGAGGCTCACACTGGGTTTTTTAATCACATCCCTTCAAGCAGCATCCTTTATTAATCGACCCCGAGCGCCCCTGCCTCCATCTTCCCACCCCACCTGCGGGGTGAGGGCAGGGGAACGGGTCAGCACGGGTCTGGTGGGCAGGATGGTCCCCAGCAGAGCGGGAGATGCTGTGGTGGACATCATCCCAGAAGCATCTCTTGCCACATGGGTTCAGTCCTCACCTGGGATTTATCCCCCGCCCTCTCCCTCTCGAGAAATCCCTCCCGCACCCCAAACTGCGCTTTGCAAAGAGGTCAAGGAAACCGGAATCAGACCGGAGGCTTTTTTCTTTTTTGGGTCAGTGTGTCTTTTCTGTGCCTGGCCCCGATCCAAGCGCTCTGCCAGCTGTGAACAAATAAGGAATGACGAGAGCCTTCTCCTCCTGACAAGGTATGCGGCCTCCAGCGAGGCTCCGAGTCACCCAAGATGCCACCACCTTTATGAAAGGGGATATTTCTTTTTCCCCCTCAAAAACAAAAAACCCACCAAAAAAAACAAAAGAACAAACAAAGTCAAGGCCCCACACAGTTTATGAGCAGCTCATTGTCCATCAAAGGAAGCATCGTGGAAGCACAAGACCGGCTTAAAGCTGGAGGGTGAGGGATGGGATGGCATTGGCTTCTCACATGGAGGGTGTGCAGCCACAAAACCCCAGCAACATCATCTCTGGGGTCCCCCACGCAGCCGGGCATCAGCGATGACTGAGGACGGAGGAAGGAAGGAGGGAAGAGGGGGGACATGCATGCTTGGTGCACATCTACTGCTCTTCTACTTCAGAAAGCGGGGAAGGGACCATCGTCAGGGTGAGACGCACCATCCCAGGGAAAGACTTCTTCAGCCCTGGGGAATCTGAGAGGGGGACCAGCACCGGCAAACATCCTCCTGCCCACCAAAAACCCACCGCCTTCCCTCAAAACGCACTTTGAGCAACGTATAACGATTATTACCATTAAATAATAACAAGAAGGAGGTGTCAGCAGCGCACCGGGGGACACCGACCACCGCCACTGACCGGGGACGGGTGGCCATCCATCAGGAGAAGTCACACTCGGCACCTCTCCTGCAACTGACCCCCCTCCTGGGCAAAGACGGCCCCGGCTCCCGACCCACCGACCCCGCTTTGCCTCCGCACCCCGGCTCCGCAGCCCCCCCCGCACCCGGGCACCGGCCGCCGAGCAGCCCCCGGGCACCCCCCGCCGGGAGCCGGGCTCCTTCCGCGGGGGGAGAGGGATACCCGGGGCTGCGGGAAGCTCTTCGCCGACACCCCCGGTCCCCCCTCCCTCAAACCCCGGCCACCTGTGACAGCCGGTGCCCCCCGGGACTCACCGGCGGCGGCGGCCTCCAGCAGCGCGGCGGCCCGCAGCAGGCAGTAGTACCGCTCCATCTCCCCCGCGGAGGTGCCCCCCGGCGGGGGACCGGCTGGGGCCGGGGCCGGGGCCGGGGCCATGGCCATGCCCGGCGGCAGCGC